ACTGAAGCAACCCGCACAGTTGACGCTCCGGTATGCGTCGTGTGCGCTTGGGCATCCTGCACGGCAACAGCCTTTGGGTTGTTGGCCCGGTCACACGTTGTGTCCCTCTAGGCTAGGGGTGGCCAAGCTGCGGCTCGCGAACCGCATGCGGCTCTTTGCGTGTTAATGTGCATCCTCCTCCCTCCCCCCCCCCCCCCCCCGCCCCCCTCCCGGTCACACGAGCGCTTCCCCAAAAAGGGGAAGGGGACACGTATTAAATCGAAAGACGGGTTGAAGTATCGCAGTCTTCTGCTACTGCTACTTTACGTACAGTTGGACTCATTTTTACTCCGATAGATTGATAGTAGTTTGAGTTGTGTTTATTGCTGAAGATTGCCCCCCCCCCCCCCCCCCCCGCGCTGCTCTTGGACGTTACGTGATTTTGTTTGCGGCTCTTAGGTCGGGTCAGCCTGGCCACCCCTGCTCTAGGCTGACATCCCGGACGCGCATGTTTTTCTAGGGTTCGCGTGGACTATAGTCGTAGAGCTTTATGACCTTCTTTAAGGTAGTGCAGAGCTGTACACTTCTGAACCACAAACTTTGGCGGGAGTCAACCCATCGACGTACCGGTTGGAAGGTAATTGCGTGTCACTTTAAGTTCGACTGCCACCGACCCGGCAACCCCATGGCGCCAGTCAACGGGCTCAAAACGCACATCGTCATAGAACTGCTTGTTATTTTTTAATTGTGTGTGCGTGTGTGTGTGTGCACGGGGGGGGGGGGGGGGGGAGGGTTCGGCGGCTAAACCTATCAGCCATTAAAAAAGCGCAGGCACCGCCGCGTTCACTCTGCTTGACTGATTTAGTCCGTTTTACACCAACTCATGTTTACAAACAAACCGGAGCGCCCCTAGCAGACGCCACCGGCACCGCGCATGCGCGGTGAATGGTGGGCAAGAAACCCGCCGTCGCCCATAAACAAACAGTCCCCGTGCTCTTTCTCGCGTTGGAATTGTTGACTCTACGTCCTCCTAACCATGTCTGACTACTTGAGCGGCTTCAGCAAAATTAACGAGGCAAAACATTGCGTGAATAATGTGACGTGTGGCGATTCATTTCACGTGGACGCCGCAAAATGGGCGCTAAAGCCCGACTCCCACGATGAGATTCTGCTCGCTATTTTCAGTCGCGACGTCGCTCGGGCTGCAAAAGCGTTGACCGTGTACGATGGTGGACGTCGATACTGAAAACCGCAAGTAGAATCGGGCATTATAAGTCGGTGATGGCCACTGGTAACCATGATCAACATCTTCTTGTATCTGTTTACACTTAGCCTTGTTACCCCAACCAACCTTAAAAAGTGTTTTGAGGCCTGCACTTAGTTCTTATCGCAATTACCGTGTCAACGTTTGGTTTACGGGCCGCTGTCGTTTGAACGAGCTGACGACAAGAAGCAGACAAGTTTGAAAGAGCAGACGACAGTTCGAACGCTTGCGCAACAGAGTGCGGGCAAGAAGCACCGCGTCCCGCGTCAACAATCCATTAGAATGTCACGTTGTCGGCGTCTGTGTGAGTCTGCATACTCTTTTTCGCGTTGGAATTGTCGATTCTACGTCCTCATCGCAATGTCTTATCACTTTAATCGCCTGAGCGAAATTATCAAGGCTCGTTACGGCCACTAAACTTCGCGTAAATAATTTAACGCGCGGCGATTCATTCGCATGAACGTCGCGGAATGAACGCCAAAACCATGATGAGATTCTTCTAGCTATTTTCGGTCGCGACGTCGCTCGTGCTGCAAAAGTGTAGAACGTAGCGGTGATGATCGACGTCGTACTGAAAATTGGAAGCGGGAACAGACCAAGCGTAACAAGTCGGTGATGGCCACCGGTACCAATGATCAACATCTTGTATCTACTGTTTACACCGAGCCTGCTTAAGTCTTTTGAGGCCTGCAATTACTTCTTATATCAATCACCGAGTCAATGTTTGGTCTACGGGATGCTTTTGTTTGAACGAGCAGACGACAAAAAGTAGACAAGTTTGAAAGAGCAGACGAAAGTTCGAACGATCAGGCGGCCGTGTGAATTAGAAGACGCACTGAACCCGTGGGTGGTCCGGACAACTTGGCGGTTTTCTCTCGTTTATGTTAGAACAAAGCCAATACATCTGGTGACCACAAAGTGTTGCCCGCACAAGCAATCGTATACATATAGTTCGACAGCGTCTGGTTTGCCTTTTTCACGGCTACTATCCGAGTTCTCGGACGAATGGAGGGGGCAGAAACACATGAAAACTGATCTTCAAACCTTTGCAGACTCTCTTTGTACAGTCCCCTTTGCAGCATTTTGACGAGAAGTAAGGTTGTTGTCTTGTTTCTCCCAAAGGAACACAGGAATGCATGTCTCGCAAGGCGACTTCTGCCTACCGCCCCAGACCGGGAGTGCGCTCGACGCGCCACCACCGCGGCGTGACGTTGGAGAGTTGAGTTCGTGTATACACCAACTCATGTTTACAAACAAACCGGAGCGCCCCTAGCGGACGCCACCGGCGCCGCGCATGCGAGATGGGGGTGTGGGCAAAAAGCTCGCCGTCGCCCATAAACAAACCATTGAAATGCGACGTTGTCGGCGTCGGTGTGAGTCCCCCTGCCCTTTTTCGCGTTCGAATTGTTGATTTTACGTCTTCCTGGCGATCTCTGACTACTTGAGCGGTGTTAGCGAAATTACCGAGGCTCGTTACACCGCGAAACGTCGCGTGAATAATGTGACATGTGGCGATTCATTCCGCGTGGACGCCGCAGTATGTGCGATAAAACCTGATTCGCATGATGAGATTTCGCTCACAATTTTCAGTCGCGACGGCGCTCGGGCTGCAAAAGCTTGTACCGTAGCTGAGATAGTCGACGTCGATACTGAAAATCGCAAGTAGAATCGGACTAAGTCAATTAGCATAGCAAGTCAGTGATGCATGGTCACTCGTTACAATGATCATCTCCTTGTATTTACTGTTTACATCGAGCCTATTACCAACCTTCAAACTTAAGTCTTTTGAGGCCTGCACTTACTTCGTATAGCAAGTACCGGGCCAACATTTAATCTACGGCCGGCGTCGTCTAAGAGAGCAGACGACAAGCAGAAACGTTTGAAAGAGCAGACGACAGTTCGAACGATCAGGCGGCCGTTTGAGCTTGAAGACGCACTGAACGTAGTCCACAGGTTGTCCGCACAACTTGACAGTTTTCTGGCGTTCATGTTGGAACAAAACAAATAAATCTGATGACCACAAGTGTCCGTGAATTCAACCCAAAGTGCTTCCCGCCCAAGCAATCATTGTCCGACGGCGTCTGCTTTTCCCTTTTCACGGCACATGTCAAGATTCTCGGACGAACCGAGCACGTGAAAACTGACCTTCCAACCTTTCTCGACACTTTTCGTACGGCCCCAGTCGCGGCGTTTCGACGAGAAGGCAGGTTTTTGTCTGGTTCCTTTCAAAACAACGCAGGAATACACGTCTGGCATGGGGACTTCTGCCCACAGCCCCAGACCGGAAGTGCGACCGACGCGCCACCACCGCGCCGTGACGTCACAGAGATGAGTTGGTGTATAGACCGTTCCATTAGGGCCATAGCAGAGAGAGTAAAAGGAGAAAAAAAAATGCCCTCCCCCTCTCACCCGCATCTCGTCTGCTCCGCCGAGTGAGCTGTACCTAGCGTCCGGCTGGCGTACAAACTCTGTTTAAAATCGCGTCATTTTGGAAATTTCAAGCGCAGATGCGCAGATTTTGATATGCCAGTTGTCGTATAATATGATGCTAGATAAAAAGACTCACAGGGTCCAATTGCGCCGTTACCTGCGTGCAAATAAAAAAAAAGGGGAAAACTGTGTCAGATTGGCCGGTCTCTTTGGCGAAAAGTAAATCCGGTTGCTGTACCTTTTTTACTATACAAAAGCTCTTACTGGTGTAAGCCTTTAGCGACCATGAGTGGAAGTCTGAAATAATAAATAAAACGTGCCCTCCTGCCGCAATACAAGCAGTAGTTGAGGGTAGTACTGCCGGCTGACTCAACTGCTATTTAAGTAACGGAAAAAAATATATGCTAGTTAATCATTTAGCCAAATAGAACAACAGAGAGCTATAGGCTGATTTTGGAGTAGCCACAACTATTCTAAGAACGCGAACCACTTCACAACGGCAGCCACGAGCGAGAGTTCGATGTTCCGTACAGCCCGCCGATACAGCCCAAAGATGGAGAACGGCAACCCCCGTTTTGTCGTCTGCTAGCGGAGTCGGGCACGTGCCCTCTCTCTCGTTTTACCCCGCCGAACCCGCTGAATTTCCCGGATGTATGGAGAGGGCGCTGCGGTCGAACAAAATGGTGCCACCCAGAGAGCGCTAAATGGAATGGTCTATAGCAGACGCCCAAAGACAACGAGCGCCTTGACAAAGCACTTTTGGCGCCGATTGATTGTCTGCGTAGGATGGTATAGCGTCGGCTGCGTTCGGACGTAAATTGAAAGGGAGCATGGCCTAGAGTTCCTTGTTTTTTGCATCAATCGAGATGTGCTTCCGGTTTCTCCACATTTAAAAGTGTAGGCTAAATCCTCCGCTGTTTTATTGTACTGAGGGTTGTTTGTAGGGCGGGAAAAAAAAGCAACGGTAGCCTACAATTATTGAAAAAACGGTTAAAGTACAGGCGAGCTGGTGGATATTTACCATGATGGGACTTCACCCGAGACTGGGGTAGAGACAGAAACTTAAAAGTAGAGGGGACAGAGACAAGTGAAGAAGAGAACGTCTCAAACGCAGTTAAAAGATTTATTTAGTCCCACATCCTTATATACTCACAACCACAAGGGTGTTGAGTGTTTGGGTGACCTTGTGGTTGTGAGTATATAAAGATGTGGGACTAAATAAATGTTTTAGCTGCGTTTGAGACGTTCTCTTCTTCACTTGTCTCTGTCGCTCCACTTTTAAGTTCCTGTTTCTACCCCAGTCTCGGGTTAAGTTCCATCATGGTAAATGGCCTACAAAGTGCTTTTTCTGGTTGTCTGTGCTGGTCTGTGCTTCACGATACCTTGCTTAGGCTCCGTACAGCATCCGACGCTGTCGTCATGCTCTCGTAAGTATGAAGCTGGTTCTGAAACCTAGGGGTCCTAAGCTCGTCAAACACAGAGTCGTAGCCGAAAGTTCGCTGAGCGCGCCGATTGGAAGTCGGCGAAAAAAGCCTGAAGTCATCGTCGTGATGGGCCAATCGGAGCGCTCTGTCAACTTCGAGCCCAACTTTGCGTTTGACGGGTTTAGAGGAGGGTGGCCACAGTCTTTCCTACGCTGTAAAACGAACCGGAAAAATCCGTGCCTACACATAGAAAGCTGGAACTTCCACCGAGTGTTCATTTAGGTGGCGTATTTTACTTTCTCAAATTTCGAGGTGTAGTTCTTTTTTTGTAAAAATAAGACTATTAGACTCGCCAAATTCAATGACGTACGTGTTCGTAGACGACCGAGTTAGCGATGAATGGAACATGTGGCGCCATCCACTTATAGGCGCAGCTAGCAGACAACAGAGTGCGTCGTCTCCTCGCTGCGCCTATCGATAGATGGCGCAGCGATTAATGCAACATTCATCGTTAAAAGGGCACTGACAGTGCATTTATGCTTGCCAAGATTTTTATTTCTACATGACATGCGAGAGCCTAACCACCCACTGCAGAGCACAATCTGCGACTCGAAATTCGTTTTCTTTTCGCCCGAAAACCACCAATCGAGAACTGTTCGGTTTGAGTGGCGCTCATTTTCTTCTCTGTGGTCACGGGCCGTTTTCTACGGTTTAGACGCAAACACAAAGGATATAATCGAAGTCGTGGGTCATCGACTGCACACACTCAATACTAGTAGTGGACAAGACATATGATACCCATTTTTTGTGGCTTCCGAAAAGTGCAAATACGTTGCCTTAAGAAGAAAAAAATGTTGCACAGTTATGTGATTTTCGGTATCTTTCTCATCTACCTTTCTTCTTCCTCCCCAGCCCAGTTTCGATTTCGGTTTCAAGGAGTTGCGTTTTTTAACTTTATTAAAAATATACATGACACTGTAGCAGAATATTTATTGAGTATCTGACACCATAATAAAATGCCTTACAAAAAAAAGGGGCTGTCAGTGTTAATTTGACTTGATCGTTCGCGAACACGTCCGCCCTACACTTTGGCAAGTTTGTTAATCTCACCTTTTGCAGAAGAAGAACTACGCCTGGCCATATCAGAAGGCGAAATACGCAACCTAGATGTACATTCAGTGGAATTTTGAGCTTTCGATGTGCCAGTGCTGATTTTTGAAGGTTCGTTTTACAGCGTATATGAAACACTATAACCAAAAGAGGGAGGGCATGACGTCAGTCACATAGCTTTCCCAAGCCATCTTCCCCTGTCGCTCGTGTCTCTCATCTACCTCGCCAATTTCCCTTTCAAACACCAACCCCACGTGACCACTGAATAAGACATGGCTACGTCTACCAACTGAGTGGCACCATATTCCACCGTGGTTCTGTTCATGTCCGCGTCAGCTCAGTACGCCTGCTGCCTTCTATTTGGTCGTGCAGCATCAAATTGAAGAGATGGTCATTTTACACTCCGTTACCATCGTGCAAGTAGATACCAGCGTTCTAAAGATATGCGTAACCTTATTCAGCCTGAGTACTGTGGTTAGCATCGAAAGAAATTTAAATATTCGCAAACTTTGACAGCGATTTTTTTTAGCGTGCCCGTGTGAAGCATTTCGAGAAGGTGTGTTTATTTACAAGAAAGGCAAAGAGCTCAACCTGCTTGTGAGTGCTGGCTGTTTGCTTTTCGTGGAGCGTTCACACAAGGTCACAGTACGGTTGGGGCAGTTCTTGGTATGCATCGCAACCAACAGTTTATTATGCAGTTGAGTTTGACTAGAATGTTTTATTAACATGTATTGGGACTAACGTTGGTTCAATTACATTTGAAACGAAACCGAGGTTTTATCGCTGCGGCCTGCCGTATGAATTTCGATGGTTTGGCTTATAAAACCCAGATCTGAATATTTACTTCAGTTTACCTTCAGAGCGCAGCCTACGCTACGGGCTGATGAAGCCACTCAAGCAGCGCCAAGATCGTGACCCGGGGTCCCACCTGGTACGACTGTCGTAGTCATCAGATTTGAGGCGAACAAAACTCCACTTCGATGTAGTCCACTGACTGTTGCAGCGAAGGCCGAAGTCCATATCGTTTGACCAGCCCGGTGGCTCTCGGAAATCTAAGAGAACCTAATTGTAAGATGTTACTGCGAAGTTCAGGACGTAATCCAACAAGGGCAAGCCGGTGAACGAAACTCGCCGCGGAAGGTTTCTGCAGCCGTTCACACTGCAAAGTTCCATCTTGGTCTCGGCAACGTAGCACTCCTTCGTTTACGTAAACTGCTCAGCGGCTCGGGTCAGTGGCGCAGGTAGGAATTTTGTTTTGGTGGAGGATGAGGTGGCTGGGATGTCAATAGGAAGTTTTAGAATAACGTGCGCAATTTTAGCGCACGCTAGCGCTAAATTTAGCGCTTGTATTAGCGCCCGCGACGCAAGAGAGCTTTAGAATAGCGTTTCTCCGTCACGACGCAAAAGCCCAAGCATCTCGCGCTTGCGACGCCACCAAGATACAGTCACAATTTATATTTCACACATTAAGTGCTGTAACTTTAGAAAGAAACAAGTTTTTTGGTCCAGAGTAGCATTTTAGATTTGTTTAAACACGAGAATGCGACGCGAGCGGTTGACCGGTCGTGCCCGCTTGCGTCGCCTCGGCAAGAGAGGTCTCGTGTACTGACCTTCGCACATCGTACCTTCGCCGAGAAGCGTTCGCGCGTCGCAAGCATCATGTTGCCGATGATTGTTGCCAAACCGAGTACAATTTCGTCTCGTATTGAAAATCGCAGTCGCGAAGATGCCGCCGACCTCGCACTCACGACGCCGCCAAAGCAGCCGCCGACATAATCCTGGAAGCCGCCATTTTTGCTTAACTCTGCTCGTCTTGGCTTTAGCCAACTTCTTATCATGAATCCTCCTTGGAGAAGCGCAAAGGCTCTTTGCCGTACGCACGCTATTTCCGAGAAATAGCGCACGCTAAAATTGCGCACGCAAAGCGCAAAACCTGGTTTGCGTTCGGAGCATGCGCAGTGGCGACGACGCTATTCTTTGCCTGCGCAACGCTTTAGCGTGCGCTATTCTAAAACTCCCTAATGACTTAGGGTGCAGAGAGGAGGAAGGGGGGACTAAAAAAGCAGAGAAGGGGAAAGGGGGGACTGAAAGCCCTTGCCCCTTCCCCTTTTCTGCTTACGCCCTTGGCTTGGCTCGTCCTCTAGTCGTGGTCCGTCGTCGGCACAACAGGGTCTCGCACGTCTCGCCGGTCTTGCCTTCACGCTACTCTCGTTAAACCTACCGACCGGAGCGAGCGCAGTACTACAGTGCGCACAACTGACACATCGCGCACCGAGTCCGCTCCTCGAGTTATGTTTGGTAAAAGCTTCTGGATGCACAACGGACCGCGACGAGCTGATCGCGGTCCGTCGTCTGCTCCTCGGGACCTCGCACCCACGGCCTCGCCGTGGCCTCACCCGCCTTGACTTCGCTTAGCTCACGTAAACCCTACCAGAGGAAGCGAGCGCAACGCTATAGACCGACACGCTGTTTACAAACAAGCCTGCGTTTGCTTACACCAGGTGTGGGCATTGCGCGTGCGCGGAAACAAGATTCGCGTAAAGCTTCTGCGCATGCGCAGTGACGTTGACAGCGCCATCGCAGCTGCGTGACATAGGGGCCGCGTGTTGGTCTATACGGCCCGATCCTTCCTATACAGCCAACTACCCAACTCGGATGTGACAGGGTCACATGCACCCCACGTGAGTGCAAGCATCTTCTTAACATTTTATGCCTGAGCTTTCTATAGACCGTTCCATTAGGGTCATAGCAGAGAGGGTAAAAAGAGAAAAAAAATGCCCTCCCCCTCTCACCCTTACGTCGTCTGCTCCGCCGAGTGGGCACTACCTCCTCGACTTTAAAAAGGAGGACACCTCCGACGGAACTCTCCAATTTTGGGACCTTCGTTTGGCGACCCATCCCGGGGGAATCTGCTGGGAGTTTAGGCAAAGGACGGAAGAAGCCATAGCATCCGGCTGGAGTACAAACTGTTTAAAATAGCGTCATTTTGGAAATTTCAAGCGCAGATGCGCAGATTTTGGTATGCCGGTTATCGTGTATAACTATGCTAGATAAAAACACGGAGTACAATTGCGCTGTTATCTGCGCGGAAATAAAAGAAAATAGGAAAACTGTGTCAGACTGGCCGGTCTCTCCAGCGAAAAGTGAATCCTGTGGCTGTACCTTTTTTACTATACAAAGTTCGTAATGGTGTAGGCCTTTAGCGACCATGAATGGATGTCTGAAATAATAGATAAAAACGTGCTCTCCCGCCGTAATACCCGCAGTAGTTGAGGGTAGTACTGCCGGCTGATTCAACTGCTATTTAAGTAACGGAAAAAAATTACGGCAGTTGATCATTTACCGAAGTAGAACAACAGAGAGCTACGGGCTAATTTTTGAGCAGCCATAACTATTCTAAGAACGCGAACCACTTCACAACGGCAGCCACGAGCGAGAGTTCGATGTTCCGTACAGCCCGCCGATACAGCCCAAAGATGGAGAATGGCAACCTCCCGGTTTGTCGTCTGCTAGCGCAGTCGGGCGCGTGCCCTCTCTCTCGTTTTACCTGGCCGAGCCTGCTGAATTTCCCGGATGTATGGAGATTGCGCTGCTGACGAACAAAATGGTGCCGCCCAAAGAGCGCTAAATGGAATAGTCTATAGGACATTTCGTCTCGGTGGACGATTTGAAACGGGTGTCACGTGGTCTATTGGACATTTTGGTGGACATTTCGTCTCAATGGACATGTTGACCAGAAACCGTTTTGGGCGGTTGTAGTTGCGTATATAAGGAGGTTGGTTAAACAAAATTAATAGCTGATTTAGAGACGCTGTTTGTCCCTGTTATTTTCTCTTGCACTGTAGAAAAAAAATTCTTTTTGAGCCAGACTCTGGTTGAAATCATATACGATTGACAGATATGGAATTGACAGTTTCAATCATTTTCAATTCAATCGGCTTCAACTGAAGCTCCGAAAATACTGCGCATGTCGAGCCTAAACTAAGGCCGGGGCGATGTTGAGAAGGAGTGTCTAAATCTCGAACCTGTAATTTTTTTAAAAAAAGGCTTAAACCGAGCCCCCACTTTTATTTTTCCCTATAGGCGGAGCTCGATGCAACGGATCCGTTCGTTACTTATAGTTCAGCCACAATTTTAAAAAGTGTTAAAAAAACTGCCTATAAAATGAGGCTATTGTTTACTTCCATGAAAGCTACGGTGAAATAAACAGGGAGAATATAGCTTCCTGATACATCTACACTCTAAGAAAAAAAGGATGTAGTCGGGTGCATCGGGCGCACATGCACCCTTTTCCTGAAAGATGCACCCTGCGTTGCCCAGCCAGTGTACTTGTACACCGACAATGAGCATCCTCCTCTCCCTTAAAACCTTTAAGTGTATCAGTGCACCCCCACGCTAGCCAAGCGCCCCGATCAGCTTGTGCTTGGATTCCCCCTTGGGGGTCACTTGTTGGGTTTGGCATTTCCTTAGGAAGTATGGAGCTATCCTGTTCACTCGGTATTGACAGTAGAGTGGAGGCTATGCTTTTTTAAGGCCAATCGGGTCTCGGGGTACGATCACGTGACTACAGTCTCCAAGCTAGAGACAAGGCAGAGCACGGTACCTGCCTGAAAGCCAAGGCCACGGGTAGCATCCACTGCACTATTAATTTTGGGTCGAACTTTCAAGAGGATATAAATGTCAAATCCTCTCGTTGTGTTGATTGTTGGGTTGCCCCTGAAGATAAGCCTTTGCGAGGGCGCCCCCCTTTTGGCCTTGAAGGAGCTGCAATTTCCATACTTCTTTCTTTTTTTCTTTCTCTCCCTAAGCTGAAAGCATGGAAGAAGGTAAAGGTTTCACGGATGGCTTAGTATTTTTTTTTTCGATCTCGGTGCTTTCCGGCCTAGTTTCTTGTGTGCTGTGCCGCGATCAGCGGGGCTGCTGTAGATTTCGTCCGCGACGATGTATTCAAGTGTACCAAGATTTTTAGAGTTTGAAAAGACCTACGCGTATATCGGCAACAAGCGAGTTCTTCAGAAAAGCCCAAGGAATTCTTGTGATGAGTTTAGTGCTCGGTTCGGCGAACTACTGGCTTCTGCTACATTATGTTGAATCTTCACGGACCCCTTTCTTTTCGTTTTTTTGTTTGTGTTGTTCTGCAGTGCCCCTGTCGACATATATTTCGGATTACATATTTCGAGTCCGGCGTTTTCATCGCAAGTGCTCTGCAACCTACTCCTTTGCAACAATTGACAGTTCCGTTCTAGATTACTTCTAGAATTAGGCAGTGTCTATTTTCTAGCAGCCGGGAAAATAATTTCCCTAAAATTCTAACTGCAGTCGCCTGCCATTAGCTGACTACAATCACGTGACAACCGCAGGTGGAATACTGACTTTCTTATTCTCCTGGCGTTTTGTGAAAGCAGGTTTTCGTTGATACACGTTTTGCAAATACGTTTCATCGACACTAACGTTTCATCGTCACTCGTTACGCGAAATGTACGCTGTAGGAATATTTTGCGGCGCGTGTATCTCTGAGGGCGCGTGCTCACCGATCCAGCCCACCCGTTCACACTAGAGTTCCTGTATAGGCTCCATACGGGAGCCAGAGTTGAGCATCTGTTTTCCACGTGCCGCCGCGCCTCTATTCGGCGAGATCCGATCACGTGAGGAGCCGAATCAAGTGCCGTGCAGGAAAGTAGACGTTGCACGCGCCTCGACGTACGTTCCCCTGCTTTTGAGTGCACCGCGCGCCTCGAACTCCGCAAGCCGCGCAGGCAAGCTGGCGCTCCGGGGGTGAACGTCCAACTCTGGCTCCCGAACCGCTCATTCACACTGGAAGCGGATCCGCGTTCGCAAAGCGGTTACGAACGCGGTTGTATAAAGATCCAGTACAGTTGCATGCACACTCGATGACATCGAGTGCGCGTGCCATTGTACTGAATCTTTATTCAAGCGCGTTCGCAACCGCTTTGAAAACGCGGATCCGCTTCCAGTGTGAATGAGCGGGGAGCCTATACAAGAACTCTAGTTCACGCCGCTTCGTGGCAACAGTCTGGGGCGACTCATTACGAAAATGTTAACCCACCTGTCCCACCCGTACCCGTCACTTCGCGGATACATTTTGGGGCGGCTCATCACAAGAAGAAAAAGAACAAGAAGCTAATATAGGAAAGCTAATCTGAGCTGTCGATGAAACGTCGTTCGATGACTGAAGGGCGACTGCCGGTGGAATTTCGTAGAAATAATTCTGCCGGCTGCTTGGAGAATACACACTACCTAAGACTCACCCCCGGTTCTTGTTTGCTTAGTAATCTTCTCGGTTGTGTAACAGCTTCTTCGTACCTCTTCACATATCACAGATTGCTTGCAAGTTTGTACTTGTTTACGAAATAACTTTGTAATAAACATCTATCAGATTTGAAAACAATCCCGTGTGTCCGTTTACTTGCCTTTTTTGCACTCACCGGTCGCATACATTTTTTAAGGGTTTCCTTGATGTCTTAAATAAGTTTATGAAGTTAGTTATGAAGCGGGTGCATAAAGTGGTGCGACCATGCACCTTTGAATTGGGTGCATCTGTGTTCTCTTCGAATTCAGTGGGTGTAGAAAGAGGTGTAGCAGTACACTATTGAACGGGGTGCCCCTGTGTTTCCTTTGAGAGGAGTAGGTGTAGAAAGGGGAGTAATGGTACACTATTGAGCGGGGTGCATCTGTGTTCCCTTTGAGTGAGGCGGGTTTATGAAGCGGTGGAATGGTACACCTTCGAACGGGGTGCATTTCTGTTAACTTTCATTTCATTGGGTGTAGAAAGAGGTGTAGCCGCACACCATTGAATGGGGTGCACCTGTGTTCCCTTCGAGTGAGATTTCTGTAGAAAAAGGTGTACATTGGTACCACACCAACGGGTGTACACATACTCCCATGTTTGGGGTGTACAGGTGTTCCCCCAAAGGGTGCCGTATATGTGACAAGCACTTACACCCCCATGGGTGTACCTCCTGACACCCTTTCTTTAAAGTGTAATTTGTATCGTCAGTTATACAGTTGCGGAAATCTGGTTTACCAAACTGGAATTTTAGCACGCAACAGCAGAAAACGGCAAAAACAAACAAACAAAGAAACAAAAACATCGTGGGGCTATTCTATGCAGTCAATTTATAAAGAGCAGAAATTCTGGGACAAATATGGAAGGAAACAAGTTTCCTTTAGCTATGGTGACATCTCGATGTCCTGCGGCATACCTTAGACGCATCGTTTAACTACAATCCATATTCCCTATATGAAAAACACAATTATACGGGTATATAAACGAACTTGGGATACTGAAATAAGTGAGTGGATAACAAAGACGGCCCTTATGATAGCCGTGGCATTGGTCGCACCTTCTTCAAGTAGGTGGCGTTCAGGAAGGCACTTAACGTTGGGAGACGCTTTGTTGGCAGAGGTCATCCTGCTCGTAGTTCATTTCCTGTCATGTTCTCTGCTCGTCAAGGCTCACTTACAGACAGTGTTCTGAAGAGCAAAAGTGACAGACTGACGATAAAAAAAGAAAACCTCGACATTTTGCCATGGCAAGTTCAAATACACAGTACTCTTTTTGTGTCCCTTTCACATTTTCTTTTATTTGTTTTTGGTTTTTGTTGTTTACATAGAAATCTGCATTGTTTTCGTGGGTCGTTTCTCGTTCCGTTGCACCTTTGTGTGGCAATCTTTACTTTTGTAAAACCATACCTTTCGTATAACGATTTTTTGGGGAAGCCCTATGGAAACCAAAGGCGCCTTTGGGAAGGCGAGGGGAAACCTTCATCGTACGAACTTTGAGGTGAAATATGAGTCACAATCGGCACAAAAGCGACGTTTTCACGAGCTCAATCTAAATCATCGGAGCTTACCAGAGCAAGCAAGAGGATTTGGTTGCTGTAAAGAATGTTCAAGTTTGCTGGTGCCACGCCCACGCCGCTTCATACCGAAAAACTCGGAAAATGACGGAATGTCAAAAATGTATTTAAGATAATGAGTACAGATACTCAGAGACGTAATTAAAATACAGTATCAAGTACTCTCGGTCAAAAGTATTTGCAAGATACCAAGATGCTTCAAAAAGGTTTTGAAATACAGTATGTTGAGTATAGAGTTTTTGAGATAGGCACAATGTCTGCGATATGCGGTCAAAAGCGGGCGCGAAATGTGATAGCACACATAGCAGCTTCCCGCGTCTCGTGGCCCCCGATGGAGCGGGCAGGACACCCCTCAAGCGGGTTGTTTCATGTTCCCCCACGTGACTAGATTAGTTGTCGCGACTGCCACCAGTCGAGCACCTGCCAGAAAAAGCCTTGCGCTCTCGCGTTACGGACAAGTGCAATTACAACTGTATACTTTAAATAAGAAAATACAAATGCTTGACGTGTCGAATCAACTATTTATCATTTTTGTAGGAAAATGCATTTGCGCGGTCGTTCACGCATTGTGAAATTTCAGAATTCCACACCAGCTGGGGGATTTCGGCGAATGCACACACTCTAAACAGGTCATTTAAGAAAGACGAGAAATGGCGCAAGAAGACTGCTATTCTCGCTGGTCTGCGCCATAAAACATGGCCAGGAAAATTGAAGGGACCATCCTGCGAATAAAAAATGCACCGAAAAAGGCAGGCACTATACATAGACATTGTTGCAGGAGGCAACACGCAACTTGTTTATGATCCCCATCTTTCTCGGTTCCTTTTCCAATCAGCGATATGAACCAACCGGCCCCAGACTGCATTATGCTGTGGTCCTTCATGTTCTTTTCACGAAGAATGTTGACATGAGTTAACCAACATGTACTTTTTAATCGCGCTTAGTCTAAAGAAAAGAAAAGATAAGTACCGATTTATGTTTTAACTAAAGAGAAATAAAAGATAATTTTTTGCGAGGAATCTGTACATCTAGTCGCGCGCATTGCTTCAGTTCAGCGGCAGAAATAAATTACTCATGCTCGGGAAATGTGTGTCCCTCTAGTCACTGACACCTTAAGAAATGCGCGTTTTATTATGTTTTCTGCTTCGTGATTCCTTTTTTGGCGTGCTTATGGATAAATGCCGCAGTCTTACTGGCTGTGGAGCGTGCGCTTAGCGTTCGCCACTTCTTACGTTTTTTAGGCTGCTAGTGACTATATATGATTTGATAGTGAACAAAATTGCCGTATATACGTTATTTAACAATTGTTCTTAGGCGTCGGCATTCACTATAACCTTTGGTTGATGCATACTTAAAGAAGGAACAGTTAAGGTCTAGTTTGCATTTGCTACTCAACATTTCTACATTCGGCTTATAGAAACTGAGTTTCATGCTGGCGAGGGATCGGAAGCCGTAAATGAACGACAACAAAACCATGGTGCGAAAATTGCTTGATCTGTTCATTTATTAAGGCGCATTTACAACTTCTCCAGAAAAAAACAAATTGCTAAACAAACAAATCAGCGAACATATATGGTTATGTAACAGGGAGTCATCGAAATAATAAACCTAGTTGCCAATGCGCAGTGTCCAGTTGTTTGTGTGGGGTAGGGTGACAGTATGTTGCGAGAGTTAAGGCCTGTTCACGCACTTACGTTTGCTTAGGACCGAGCTCTTGTGATCTCTTAGGACGCAATGACAGACTGAGACGCTGGCGCCATCTATGAGTTGACTTTAGAACAAAGTTTCTCTAGAGCGAAGGTTATGCGGTATTCACGAGTAGTAGTGCTACTATTTATGAGAAATGGTCGCTTATAAAATTGCCAAAAGCTTTTCAAGTAAAACAAATGATGAGTGAAAAAAAATATATACGGAAACTGAGTTTCATTAGGGAATACCTTGAACGACGACAAAGAGAGATCGGGCGCCAGGCGCTGGGATGTCACGGGAGAGTGCCTAATCAACTTGTACAAGGTGACCTTGGCTGGTCCTCGTTTGAGGCACGGGAGGCCAGTAGCAAGCTGGACTATTACGCCCGACTGCGACATACGGACGGAGATCGCTGGGCACGAAGGGTTTTTTTATACATTCATTTAAAGAAACTACACACGACATGGAGGAGGCGTACCAATCGACTTGGGACAAAGTACGGCGCCTTCTCGATGAGCGACGAGCCCTCTACAAAGAAAGATTGGGTTGCGAAGGTGAGAGGACAAATTAACACCACCGAGACGAATCGGTGGAGAGCCGACATGGAAGAACATTCCAGCATGCACCTATACGCGACTTTCAAGACCAACATCGCTGCCGTCCGCTGGTGTGGAAACACACTGGGCAGCCGACTCCTTGCCGAGGCCAGCGGTGGTGCCTTACGCACCCGCATCTACAGGCATCGGTACGATGTGAACGTGACTGAAACCGTGTGCAGTGCATGTGGTGAGGTAGAAGAAACTATCCAACATTTGCTCCTTGAGTGTCCGGCAATCGTACCTGCGACAGACGTCGGCACCCGCATTGAGCAGGCCCTCGGTTTTACGGAGGAGAACAAACATGTGATGTGCTCAGAGAGAAGGCTCAAGGCATGGTGGAAAGTCCACTCGTGATACTTCAGAGTGCCTACGAACCATTTCTCAGACCTTCTAGTTCCTTTTCATTATCTTTCTCTTTATCTTCTTTTCTTTAATGGCATGTCAATTTTATAGACGCTCGTTAAAAAGGGCAATTGCCGCCAGAAATACATACATACTGAAAGTGTTCCGGGATACCCATTAGACGGCGCCACTGTGTTATTTCGTCGTAAGATATTTTAAGAAGCTTTAAGGCACACGGTCGAAGACAGTCGAAAGTGGTTGAACCAACCTTTACTCCCCCGGAGCCCCCGCACGTTGTTTGAACGTCATTATGTTGCAACCACGCAGGACCTGACCGTCAGTGGCGTGAGCATATCCAACGCCAAGGTGGGCCAAACGATGCTGTTTAACTACACGGGTGACCTGACGACCCTCCTGGCGAACTCCCCAGTGTTAAACCTTACAATGACCGCGAAAACATCAGGAAACATAATCCCATGCTTTTTGAACGTGGGATCATGGTATGTTATCCGTCTGGTTACTCTTTCAAGTCTGCTGTCTTGTTTTTACCTGTCTTGTAAGGGACTTTTAACACCCACTTCCACAGTGTTTCATTTTACTCCCCGTTACTAAACCATGTACTGTTTTTATGTGCTTCCTTCCGCTCCTCGGTTGATTTATCCCCTAAATTTAACAAGCAAATGCACGCCTGCAAAAAAAACAAAAAAAAACACCAATTAACTTTGTTTTTTGAACCACGGAGACTAGGTCCCTTGTGCCAAGCTTTCATTATTATATTGATCGTGCAACGTACGTTACGTCAGCCCTAAGAAACGCAACCGAATATTATGGTAGGGGCCATTCAAAAGGTACGACTTTATGCCTCATTGTTGGAGCAAAGTCAGCACGTCAAAGAAACACCACACTTGGCCCAAGATTGGCAATTGGGGGGGCCTAACATAGGCCTAATACTTTTTGCTTTAAGGCGTTAGTTATCGCCAGAGTATTTGTTTAACCAAAATAGTCGCATAAACGCCGGCTCATTAGTTGCGCCACATGATTACAAAAGTTTTAAACATGAGCAAAAGTGCCAGGTGACAAACAAACCATCAGCAGTGAAGCCTGTTCTGGCCTGTCATTGGAAGTTCAAAACCAAAAAGTCACGTGACAACCAAACAATCAGGGATTGAAGCCTAACTTTTGTTTCGCCGTTAAGGTTAAATTACCCAAACTCTGGCCAAAAAAATACCGGTTAGAATTCGGGTTCATAGCGCTTTCAGACCCCTAAGTTGCGAGACAAAAACCAAATTAAGAGCTCTGCTGTTTGGGTAACAACTAGACCCCACCGACTTTTTTTTCTTTCTCGTGCAGTCAGTACAAGCTGTGCGGCGGTACCACCACCATTGAACAAGAGATCGGGGCGCCGTGGGACAACAGGGGCCCGATCTCAGTCATGACCTACACGAGCAGCGTCGCCATTGCAATACCGTCTGAGGCGTCTGTGGTCATTGGGGTGAGCTCAGGCTTCCAGAAGGAATTATTGTGGAGGCTATACAGTATGACACTGAGGGAGAAGAGGACAACTTGCGGGGTATCAAGGCGCCGAGCTCGGATCACGTTCGAAAAGGGAGAGAGAAAGACTTTGCGTCTACCCACTTGTTTTCGCAATCAGAACTCGGTGCCCTTCCCCTATAAAAATGGTTTACGCCATTTGAAGTACGTATTCTCGCCAAATGGCAATTGGTGTCTATAAGTAGTTGATCAACTGGCTATAGATGGTAATCGTCGTTTAGACGTCATCCGATTGACTTTCGTAGCTTTTTGGCCACCGTGAACTTTTCGCCATTCTATAAGCTATCACCAGTGTGTCGCTATCCTGGTGCCGTACTAACGGTAATCGGCTATTGGAGGAGACAAAAAGACTATACATTTCATAGCCTTTTAATTGCTTCCAATAACCAATTGACGTTAGTATGGCACCTGGATAGCAATACAATGGCGATATCCTATAGAATGGCGAAAAGTTGACGGTGGCGAAATGGCTACGAAGGTCAATCGGATGACGTCTAAACTACGATTACCACCCATGGCTAAAGGCCGTAGATGGTAATCGCAGTTTAGACTTCATTTGATCAACCTTTGTAGGCCTTTCGCCAGTGTCAAAGTTTCGTCAACTTTCAGCTAACCAGCCCAGAAACTGCGATAAGAATAGCATCCATAACCTCACAACTGGCTTCGGCAGTGCCCTTTAGATGCTGGTGGTATCTCAGGGCCTGGTACACATAGTGCTTGCTTGCAATATGCGAAGAAAACAAAGATTGAAGAACAATAACCAAGATTTATTTATCGCAATGTCCTTAAAATAACTAGTGTGTTTTTAAAAGACTGAGTTAATCACCCAAATGTAAACGATGAGTGAAAAAATGGCCTTTCCTTGTTTCCAGACATGTCTGTAAGGTATGAGCTGAAAGAACAAAAATATTATAATTTTAATGGACATATAACCAGCCTATATACACTTGTAGCACATGCACAGAAGAACCTTGCTCATATGTTTTCTCGGCTGTTATGCTCACGGACACCGGTCCTGTTGAACGCCCATAAGTATATATGTGCTTGAATTACAGGCTTTATGCGTTGCCTCCCCGCTTCTTGTGTCCAAAAACTGCCACTTGAGGTGTCCGGTACGACTACTGGTGACCAGGGTGTCGAACCGAAATTTTTATCGGTTCGGTTCCGGTTCGGGTTCAGGGCTTTCGGTTCGGCTGCGGTTCAGTTCCGGGGAGCAAAAAATAACGGTTCGAACCGGTTTGAACCGGTTAGAACCGGTTTGAACCGGTTAGAACCGGTTTGAACCGCAAAATTGAGACTGTATTTTTCGCGTTTTTTGGCGACAGGCACTATTTCAACAGTGAAACAAGTATCTCTATAGCTTTTTATCATTCGTAGAACGATAAAATTGCCTTATTTAATTTAAATGAAACAGTAAAATACTCCTAGATTGACATATATGACTCAAAATCAATTTTTTTTACCGCAGTCGCACATATTTTACCTGAATCTATAGGTTATCTGTCCGGTAGGTCGCCTAAACTACCTGTTAATGCTACAACTTTTCGTCGCAGTACTAAATGTCGAATCTTTCTATACTTTTGAACTTACGAATTAACTACAGTGCATAAAAGTCTGAAATGGGAACATTCTCGCCTTGTACTGTATATCCCGAAATCTAGTTTACAAAATACGTTTTACAATATATGATGACGACGCAACTGAGCTAAAAACAATAATATTTTCAAAATGCCAGAAATGTTTTAGGACAAATCCTTTCAGTCTACCTTTTATAGAAACACTGAGCGGCAATCAGAACACCTGCTTTCCTGACCAATGTGTTTTACACTCAGCACAGTGATGCAGAAAAAAGTTACCCTCCTACTCAGATCAGATCTGGCCTAAAGTAGCGCCTACCGAAGTAAACATTTTCGACATTGCTTGGCGCTTGAGGTTTGTTGTTGTCAAGATTCCGGTCAATTTAATTTGCAAATAAACATCACACTTGCTATTTTTCATACTTTTCTTATATAAAACAAAGTAGTATTTTATACTCTGCTCGACATTAAAGCTACTTAATTTGTCACTTTCTGACGGTCTGCGTGCGCAATCGTCATGGTTCTGCCAAGCGCCACTGTGTACTTTGTTTTCGTCCAGGCCACAAACACACAATTCTTGTTCATCACATAAGGGGAGAAACATACTTCTATATGTTTGAGAGATTGAATATGTGTCAGGAACACATATGTTATTTAAATCAGCTTCAAAATAAAACATTTGTTTAAAGTTCTCCCAAATAACTTATAGACGTGCCTATTGATGATAAAAATTCCGGAAAAGATTTGGAGGGAATATTTCAGATAATTTAGTAATGAATTTATTGTTGCATGATGTATATCTTTAGGGGGATCGGCCCTTTATATATGTTGCCAAGGCTTCAAACAGCAATAAAATATTTTTTTTTTTTATTGTCATCAATAAATCTTACTGTATGAAGTTCTCTTAACCGCTTGAGACCGACACGGGAGGATAATATTCGAGAATACGCCACCTGTTGAGTCTGCAGAACGTGTTTTTTTGTTCGTTGTTTGGCAGTGTGAAACACCGGGTCGCGGGCTATGCCGAAAAGGACTGTGTGATTATATTATAGATCTGAAGGCAAATACACAAAATGTGCAGAAAGAGATATAATAAATGTTACTCTTCTAAAAAATCCCATGCAGGACGCCTTACTGCAAAAATAAATATATAGTACTGCAGGTTTTAAACGTAAACACGTTCGGGGGAACTCCGTCTGGTTGGGTCAAAAGTTTGAGAAATACAGACCATCACCAACCAACTCCTAGACATTTAGGAGCCCGACGTTTCAATAGGTCGGGCTCAGTAGGTCGGCCGCCACTTAAAGGGGTACTCCACCAATTTTTTGAGCTACCTCAACTAACTGTCATTGGTCTGTTTAGATGATTTTGAGAGCGCCCTTTTGAATATGACAGGTTTGGAATGATAAATAGCAGTTAAATATTTTTTAGAAACTTCGTTAAAGATTTCGAGTGCTGAGAGTTTATTTTGTTGAGTGCTATATAATATATTGAATGTTTGTGCTATTTCAGCCCCTTTATTCTAAGTGTATGTCGCTGAATGTGTACTGTATTGTAGTCCTGATGTTGTATGTTTCAGTGCTCTTCTATACCCCACACCTGTTAAAGCTCCATACTTGGGGTGAACAGTATTCATAAATAAATAATAAACTATATTTTCTGACTCCCCAGCCTTTAGCCTTTCCGGTATGCTATTTAGCATCGCGAAGTTCATAATAGGTATTGTGAAATCGGCAGATGCAAATGGTGCAAAAACCAATATTCAAATATTCGCGCACTTTTCAGTGCCGTGACGTCAGTGGCAGGCAGGCTTGCCAGTCCAGCAAGTAGTCTAAAAATAGAATATGCCAATCATTTGTTCCGTGCTGGAGCGCGGATACGGGAGCGAGCTTCCAAAGCACTCATTTGACACCAAGAAACTGCTTCAAATCCGTTGGGAACAACTTCGGTAGTCCGAAAAGTTAACCCCTGCCTTCCACTGACGTCACTTTGTTGTTGTTGCCAGTAGAGACTTTCAGTTTGAAAAACATGGTGAAGACCAAAACTGTAAATTCAGTAACTTCGCGAAAAAACAATATTTTGACCTAATATTTGGGATACTATTTTAGCAATGTTTGTTGGTTAGTTTAGCAAAATTTCAAGCAAATCAGAGACAATGAAAAAAACGGTGGCGTATGTCAACGGACTAGGGCACTTGAAGAACAAAGAAGTTCGAGGACACCTAAGCACTTCTTATGAGTTGTGAAAACAAAATTATGAATGCTGTTCTTCTGATCCCTTAGTTCGTCTGCTGCGTTGTGGCGTATTGTCATTGGCCGACGACCAAGCTCACGCTTTCGTGAATTGGCCTCGCCGCGCTGAGCTCGGCCGTGCAACCTCTTCGGAGTTCGCCCGAGCGGGCTGTGCGGCCAGGCCCGCACCGCCCCACCCCTTACCGGCGGCCTGGCCGCTGCGTGCGCTGCGCCGCAATAGAGAGAAATTCTCTGGTGGCGATTTTTTGGAACTACGCAGCACGAGAGCCAATGGGAGCCTCGTTCCTTCATGTCACGCGCTAGCCAATGGGAGCCTACCCATCAGATTTCTGCTACACGCGACATTGGGACGAGGAAAGGTGCCGTTTGTCGCGGCTTCAAAGCTGATGACGTCGGTTCGATTCATGGGGCAGTTAATGCTTTCGCATTAAAAGTAAAGGAAGCAAGCGACACACCGCAGATGGAAAAGAAGCTGCAGCACTACACGTGCTGATAGACTCCCCTGATGAAAATACCGAACCGGTTTTGAACGTCGGTCTCCTAACTGTTCAGGACTTGGTTGGTTATGGTTAGGGTGTGTACTTTCCGGTGTTTATTTGTGAGAAAAATCGGCGGATGTTTTTCAGTGTTTTATTTATTTTCAAAACACCGGTGTATTTCGGTGGAACGTCTCACGACGAGGCTAAAAACGGTGATTATCGGTGAAAAAAAAGCGATTGATCACAGACAGAGTTCCAATTTTATTCACATAGTTCATACACTTCTTCCCTAGGAAGCAACTATTTCTCACATTTGGTTATTATAGTAGATGCAAGCATACTTTCATGCTTGCGGTTCGCAACCCGCAATTATGAAAACGCACGCTCCTGTACGACACGAACGTTGGCAGTGTCTTCCAGGAACCACAGCAACCTCTGAATACATGGCTTGCACCGACATCACTTGGCCAGACACAACGTGGAAAAGGCACGTGAGAGCCTACCCTCCACTGTGTTAATTTTTCCACAAAAGGGGGCCATGGGAGACACAATAGGGGAAAGGCGTATGAGAGCTTAGCTTCCACTGCTTTCACCAGACGCTTTTGACCCCCAGAAAGGAGGGCGGACTGACGC